CACCTTGGTTTGCCCACTTCTAAAAGAGACAAAAAAAAAAAAACAAGCCCATGACCCAGCCCCTGGGCATAGAGTGGGCGACCAGTTACGATAGAGAGATCTCAGGGAAGGATGGGGTGAGACAAAACGATGTCCTCTGTTGTGACTGTGGGTCCCCAGAGAAGAGTGATGCCATTTGACATTGTCTCCTGTACTGGGACGGGGAGGGGTCAAGCTTGATATTAGGCTCAAACAGCCCTAGGTCCCAGCTATATACTATAAGGCCAAAAATTGGGAATAGTGACCTCACTGAACCTGACTTTCTCCATCTGGAAAATGGAGCCAATGATTGTACATGCTTGCAGGTACTATCAAATGTGACCATGTGACCACAGTCTGGGCCCCTCAGAGCCTCACCAGATACCAACTCCCCAGCTCCCCTTCGCCTCTTACAAACCTTGAGAAGTACTACCTTGCTGTAGATTCATTTTAACTCTGCCAAGAGAAAAACTTTTCTGATATGGATGATAATCCAGGTATACCTGAATTATTGTGGATTTTGCTTTTCTGTACAAGCAACACATGTTCACAAGGGGCAGTTCACAGTAGTGGGAGTTCTGCAGGCATGTACATCTCTACAAGAAAACCCTACTCCTGGAACAAACCACTCACCTACTCTGAGACCATTCTCTCCTCTTATGAATTGAGGAGCATCCATACCCTTTAGTTGTTGCTGTTATAAAAAATAGCCACAGTTTAAATTCCTATAAGAGTCCAAGCACTGAACTGCTTTCTTTGTCCTTATGCATATCATTTGACACTTGCACCACCCCTGCAGGTTCTTCATTTTGAGGTGTAGGGGCCGGGGAGATGGCTCAGTAGGATAAGCGCTTTACTGGCAAATGCAAGGATCTGAGTTCAATCCCCGGTTCCGCCAAATAAATAAATAAACAAATAAATAAATTTTAAAAAAGGGGGGGGCTGGGGAGACGGCTCAGTAGAGTAAGTGCTTGCCTGGCAAGCACAAGGGCCTGAGTTCAATCCCCGCTTCCACCAAAAAAAAAAAAAAAAAAGTATATTTCCATTTTGAGGTGTAACTTAAGTACAGTGAAATGCCCAGATCTTCCCAGGACAGCTCAGTAGGTGTTATATACATGCTGTATCTTCGAGTGGAACTCTAACCTTATAGACTGACTTGGGACTTTGTACAGATGGACTCCCTCGGTATGTGTTCCTATGGCTGATTTCTTTGACGGAACTTTGTTTTTGCAATTCATCCCTGGTGTTGTACATCAGTCATTTGTTCAATTATGGAACTGTTAGTATTCCTTTGGATGACGGTGATGCAGTACAGCCAGATGTAATTGTCACCTACCCTTCCTCCTCTTCTTTCTCTTCTCCTTCTGTTTCTTCCTTCCCTTCCCCCTCCTCTTTTTCTCCTTCTCCTCCTCCCTTCTTTCCTTTCTTCTTCTCCTCATTCTTCATCATCATCCCATTTTGCAAATGAAGAAACTAGGCTCTAAACGGTTTACTAAGTCTGTGGTGTAAGAGCACAAGGAGACCCCGGGACTAAGCAGGGGCTCAAACCCAGGTCCCTCTGACTCCAAAAACAGCTGTTTCCTCTGGAATTAGGCAGAAGAAACAAGTCAGCCATAGGTGGTCATGGGCTCCTCGTCCTTGAGGTACAACTGGGAGTCAGGACAGCCAGCTCCAGCTGGGGAGAAAACTGTCCTGGGTTTAGCCATTGCCTCTATTTATTTTTGTCATACCCCAAGCTGATAGTTCAGGTGTAGTCGTCACTCACAGCCCTGTACCTTGAGACTAGAGCTTTGCCAACATTTCAAAACAACTGCAAATAACCCAAATAAGAGGAGGTGGCATCCTGGCCGGCTGGCCAACAGGGACTCTTGTGGGCTACCCCTACCCTGGCTCCTATACAGATTGGGTTGGGTTCCCACAGCAGTAACTCATATGGAACATTGGGGCTTCTCCAAAGAACACCAAAGGTCCTCAGGCCAGGGTTCTCTGTAACCCAGGCTGTATCCTCTCAGGGGCTGACCTGCGCTCACGGGAAGGGTGTGCCCTGCTGCCCAGCTCTCTGCATCCCAGAAATCGGCCTTGTGCAAGGCAGAAAGTGGGACCTCCCAGCCCTGCACCCCCTGAACTCAGATAGCACTCTAGGCAGACCAGCCAGACATGATTCATGGTTGACTACGTGCAGCCGTGGGCGACCCTGGGGGAAGAAGGGCAAGGGGCCAACTCCCCATGACACCTGAGGCACCCTTGGCTCTGTTGATCATTAACAGAAACCACCCCCAGCAGGCAGAGAAGGGGAAAGTCCACAAGGATGGCCTACCTGTCCTCCCAGGCCCCCTCCTCCAAACACACCAATCCAGGCCCTCCCCGGACACGAGATCACGACATCTGGGGGAGGGGTACATGCAGACACCATCCACCCTGACTGTTTGCCCACACTCCTGCGGAAATGCCCCCAAAGGCCAAGGGAAAAGGAAACTTAAGCGTTGCAGTTACCATGCGCCAGGGACTGTGTCAGTGTTGTCCCTGTGCCAGCCTATGATACAAGACAGCACAGGGGTAAAATACAATGGTGCTGGAGTCAGCCTGCTTGTGTTCAAGTCCTGGTGCTTTTTCCCTGGGTGACAGTTAATAAGCTGTTCGTCTGCCCCCTAGTTTCTCCACAGAGAGAATGGAGTTCATAGGGAAGCCTTACCGTGAGGTTGTTATAAACATCTGAATTAAAACACAGTTCTTGAGGACCACAGGGCCCAAAGAGTTCTCATTACTAGCAAAGCACTTGACCCTCTTGGTAATGCTTGCAGATACAGCTGAAAGTTCCAAGCTTGGACTGTTTGATGAGGCACATGTGTCCTGGTCTTCTTCCTTCGTGTCATGGAGCCACCTTCCTGCTAGGATCCTCCCTTGCTTTCAGAACCAAGGTTTTGTAATCCAACAGACCACAAAACCCATGTTAAATCTGCCCCAGATTCTCTGTTGGTCCTCAAAAGCTGTCCTTTCCCCAAACGCCACTAAGGTATAGCAGACCCTCACCTTCCTCCTGACAAGGAGGTGGTCAGGCCAGGAAAGGGAAGCCATCGACCAGTAGCTACAATAGCTTGTTTCTCTGAGCTGCTCCAAGAGAAGACACTTAGCCAAGCGTGAATTGCAAGGCCAGCAGCCATGGAGACCTGGCCTACCCAGGGAAGGCCTTGTGCAGGTCCCCAAACCAGAGATGCCCTGGGGTCCCAGCCAGGGGCTAGAAGAAGCCCAGTGCCCAGGAAATTGGCTGGCAAAGCAAGACCTCGCCCTTCCTATCTACTTCCCTCTGTGTAGGCCTCATCTTAAGCTCTTTCTGCATGGCTCCCACCCTGGTGAGCTGTGTAGGAGCTCAGAGGTAGAGGTCCCCTTCCATCCCTGGGCTCCCATCTCCTACAGCTACCTGCCAACCCTCCAGAGTGCTTGGGCCCCTTCCTGTTGTTATCCTAGGAAGATAATGGGCCTGAAAGGCTTCTGCTCTTTGCCTTCCCTAGTAGCTTCTGTTGTAAGAGCTACACTCTGGGCCTGTTTGGCCTAACTCTGAGCTTGTACACTCCCCAGAGGGACACACGTGGGACAGAAGAGTTTAAGGCCTAGGGACAGCTAGGAAGCCTCCCCTTGCCTTTACAGTCAACTTTACCCTCCAGGACTGGAGTCAACGCTTATCATTGTTACCTAATTCCAGGGAGAATATTCAGGGCTTGCTGGAAGGTAGGCCTAGAACCCTGTGGGCCCAGTCATGGTCACAAGAGGGAGAAGTCAATGTCCACCATATGCTCCCATATACCTCCAGGAATGAGCTTAAGGTGAACAGTTATATGCTTTTAATCAGAAAGGAAGATCACATAGCATTACCACCACCGGCCTAAGACAAGAGTACAGGTAAGTTTCCTGGAAGGCTTGCTTTTCCCCTTCCTGCACCATTATTAGCCCCTGCCCTGGAACAGGAAATAGACTCTTCCTACCTCACACCCCACCCCTTATATAGTATGTACTGGCCAGAAAGCTCAGAAGGTAGAGAGGACAGCCCTGGCATGGAGGCAATCTCCTGAAGACCTGGCTGCCATTGTGAAAGGCCTGGTGCAACGGAGGTAGGAATTCAGCTTGCCTCCCACCCCCACCTCCTCCATCCCCAAGAAGCAGCCTCATTTTAGATTGAATTTTTCACTTAGAGGTAAAACTCCACTTCCTAGTGACCAGCTTAGTGGCCCTAGCTGGGCTGCTCCTAACCCAAGGGATGAAGACACAGGCTGGGATGGGGGGTAGCCCTAAACTCTGAGGCTAGATGGGCAAGGCCAGCCTTCACTGCCGAGTTGTGGTACCTTACCGAGCTGTCTTTTCTGAAACAACCCAGCAAAGGGGGCCAGGGATATAGCTCAGTGGCTTAAAGTGCCTGCCTGGCAAGCACAAGGTGTGGAGTTCTATCCCAGGGTATGGCCAAAAAAAAAAAAAAAAAAGATAATGAAGCAACCCAGCAGGAAGAACAGGCTCCTTAGCACCAAACCTCACCATCCATCCTCTGTAAGCAGGAAACTCCCAGAGAAAGGAGCTACACATCTAGCTCTGACCCACTCATACAGGAAAAGTATAGGGCTTCCCTAGGGAAAACCTATAGGCGAAGTCAGTCCTCAAACCAAGCAAAACCAGAGCCACCATCAATGTTTTTTGAAAAAAAAAACAAAAACAAAAAACGGGGTTTATTGATTTTTTTTAAACTGCAAATAGTCGTTACAAAAAGTTTTTTTCTTTTAAATAAATTCACACAAAGAAAAGAGAAATAGAAAGCGACGGTAGTGACCAGCAAGAGGAATAATAATTACATTCATCTTAATGTGTCTGTGTGCCAGCTCTGTTTACACTAACATTGGAAAATTCCAAGCCTGGAATCCAGAACCTCAAATCTGGGAGCGGAATGTCTTCAGGTGGGCACGTGAAAGTCAAAGGGCTTCTCTTTTTTTTTTTTTTCATTTTCCCTTTTAGAAACTACACATAAAGTCGTTTTCCTTCTGTACTGTCACAGAACTTTTACATACATTCTCAGTCCTAGCTGTGAAAAGCCTAAAGAGAAAGAAACTCAATTTGCAGTCCAACACAAAGGGGGGAATTTCTAAAATAAATAATCCAACAGTTTTTTGCATTTTTTTAAATTAATTTTTCATTTTTTTAAAATAAAATAACCAAAAAGTGTAAAGTTACAAAAAATGTTGTTGAAGAATAATATATTAAAACTGTGGAAAAAAAGGAAAAGACACGTCACAAAATTTTAAGATTAATATGAAGATCATAATTTAACATAAAAGAATATATTCTATGGATTTGTCATCCCGATAAATATGAACAAAATTAACAAAAAAAAAGCATAGTTTGGCAATAAATACGTTTTGATAAGTTAAATAAGCTTTTTTATATTGATGTGCAGTGACAAGCAAAATTTTTGCTCTCCAATTTCTGAAAGTTACATGAAGTTTAAAACCCAGGGAAAAAAGCATGGCGTGAGAGCTCTAAGGGTAGACCTACGGTATTCTAGAGCAAAACCATTAAAGCTACTTCTACAGGAAATCGTTTTACACAGATATTGTATGTGGAATGAATACCATTAACTGCTCACCCCTTACATGTTTTTTTAGCTTTTCTCTCTTTTTTTGTTTTTTTAAGATGTCACATATGAACTGGGGAACTTTAGCACCAAAATCGAGTCTCTCATAGTCCATCTAGCCTCCCCTTTCTCCCCACTTAAAAAAAAAAAAGAAAAAGTTAAATCACAAAGTCCCACTTATGTCCAAATCTTCATCCACTTTTCCAGCCTTCCTTCCTGCAGACCTACAAACCCAGGCAAGATTAGTCAACGGGGGGTCCAGGTTGGGAAGAAAAAGGTTTTGAATGTCAAGACAGTTTTCCCCAAAAACCCAAGTCCAGCAACCACTCTCCCAAAGGGGGGGGAAGGACAACTTTCTACTGGGAAGAGGAAGAAGTGTGCGGGAGAAATAAGGGAAGGTGCAGTCATGTCGCCAGTGGAGGGAGCTGCTGGTTTTGGGTGTCCACCCCCCATGGGCAGAGGCCCCAGGAGGCCCATGGGTGCCCCCTGGCGCCGAAGAGGTAATGTAGTCACAGTGACAAAGTTAGATTACAAGGCACTAAGTTGCTTCTGTAAACTGTTAACTGCTTTTTCTTTTGTGATTTGGCACTTAAGGCTTAAGCCAGAAAAAGAGGCATCTACTGACAAATATGAGACTTGTCTGTTATGCGTGGTTAAGTGGGCTATGAAGTCGAGGGAGGGCATTTCAAGCCAGAAAAAGCTACTGACAAATTGACTTGTCCTTGTGTGGGGAGGGTGGGGAAGTAGGGAGGGGACATTCCAAGGTTCTGGGGAAGGCATTTGAGCTTAACCTTGTTAATATAGGGTCAAGGGAAATTGGGTGGATAGGGAGGTGAGGGGCCAGGTGTGGGGCCAGGGGATGAAGGAAGCAGGGGGGTCCCTCCCTATGCTGGCTTAGTCATCTGAGATGGAAAGTCTGCTGAAAATGGGCAGGCGTCTTGAGTTGTCCAAGGTGGGGGAGTCTGAGCCACTGTGGCTGCTGCTGGAGCTGCTCAGGTAGCCCTCCTGGTCCGAGAGAGAATCCTGAGGGCTGGGGGGAGAGTCAAACATGTGAGGGGACTCGGACATGGGCCGGAAAAGGAAGGTGGTTGGGGAGCCACCCCCAGGCAGCCCCATACTGGGAGCAAAGAGGGTCGCCAGCTCCTGGCTGGAGAAGGCGAAGGGGTTATTGGTGCCATCGGGCAGGGTAGGTGAGCCCAGGAGGTCGTCAGCGCTCAGGATGGGGGGTGGGGTGATGGATGTGGGGCTGTCCAGCAGCCCTGTGGCAGCGGCGGTGGCAGCGGCGCTGGGAAAGCCAGCAAAGCTAAAGCTATGCTGGAGGCGGGGACGGTCAGCGGAGAGGTCCCGGGCCCCGGCCAGGGCTCGGCGCTCCTCAGCGTTGTGGATGAAGTGGCAGCGGGGCCCGTAGGGGCAAAAGCCGATGGTGTGGAAGGTGCGGCACAGCTCTGTCTTGTACTTGGGGTGGCGGGTCAGGCTGCGGAGCTCGTGGATGCCGTGTGCGAACTGGCACTTGTCCCCGTACTTACAGGCTCCGTTTTCCTCAAAGGGGCGGCACAGCTCCGTCTTGTAGCGGCTGGAGTTGACCTGGCCGCTCCCAGGCTGTTTCTGGGCCGGCAGCAGCCGCTCGCCCCCTTCGGAGAAAGAGCGGTCTCGGAAGCGGCTGTCCCGAGAGCTCAGGGCCGGGGCCGGCTCACCCTTGAGGCTGCTGAGGAGCTGGTTCTGGTGGAACTTGGAACTGGGCAGGGTGACCGAGTGCCTCCGAGGGAAGCCCCCTCCGGCAGGAGTACCCACGGCCTTCCTGTCCAGCAGGCAGCCCCCTGTGCTGGGAGTACTGTAATTGAGCATCTTGTTACCCTGGAGGAAAAAGAAGAGAAGGCAAGGTCACTGACAGGTGACACCCACCAGGACAGGGTGCCCAAGAATGGCAGCCCCCTCCAGAGCCCTAAGGAGTCCCTCCACGCCTCCTCCAATGGGCCCCCCTCCCTCGCTTCTGTCACACACACCAACCACCATGGCTTACTTTGGCCCCATGCATAGGAGACCACAAAATCCCGACCAGAGTGACAAATTACATTATCCACTGCTCCAAAGTCACCTTCATATCCTGTATCTCCAAAGCTACTATTTTGTAAACCTATAAAATATAACTTCTTTACCTCCCAAACAGATTCAACTGGGAACACCTCACACAAGGCAGACCTCTCTAGATTTTTCTTCTAAGAAAAATGGGTAAACCCGGGGAGGGAAACAAAACAGCCAAGCCCACCTCCTCTGCTCAGTTGGGAGTCCCCTCCCCCACACTTGGCCCAACACTAACTTCCTCCTTCACAAGTGTTCCCTTCCTTCCGCAACAGGTTTTCAGGCTGCCTGTGTTTTTTCTTGCTATGGGGAGGTCTGGTCTGGGGTTGAGAAGACTGGATTGTGACCCCTAAAATCACTTGGGGATCCTGCAAGGGGCGCCCTGGGCAGCCTCTACCATTTCCCACCCTCTTCACTGGGAAAATGCTTTTGGACTCGTCCCCTGGCCGAGAAAGAGACGTGGTAAGGGCACCAGTGTTTAATCTTCAACGCAAAGCTGCAGATGGGAAGGAGAGGAAAACACCAGCCCCACCCCCGATACCCCCCCACACATACACAAGCACGCACGCACGCGCAAACACACGGACTGGGGGGCTGCAGATTCCTTACAGGCAGGGCTCTGTTCCAAAGAGATCCTAGTCACCTGCCCTAATTGTACCTAAGGTTTGTAAAGGGCACCAGTAAGGGACCCAGGAGTTGGCTCTTGGCCTAAGTGGGTGTCACTGTGCAAATTCTGAAGTTGGTCCCTTAGGATCAGCAGCATGGGATCGGGAATCTGTAACCACAACCACAACCACCCCACCAAGCGGATTACAGGAACCCAGTGGAGAGCCGGTTCCCAACAATGAGGTTCATTTTAAAAAGTCCTGCGGGGGAGGGAGGGCAGAGAAAGAAATAGATCAAAGAGCCGGAGAGCAGGAAAGAGAAGGAAGACGGGCCGGGGGGCTGTGCCGCAGCGCGGGCTGGCGCAGTGGAGGGAAGGAGGCCGAAAATTCCAAGTTTTGGATGTTGCTGTTCAGCTCCTCCGCGTCTCTGCACCCCAACCCTGCAGCCCTGGGGCCTTGGCAAGCCGTGCCGACAGAGGCAGCAAGCTGGGAAAAGAGAGCAACATGACCCGACGTGTTTAAGAGAAGGCTAAACACTTTAGCAATTAAAAGTAGCCTAGCAGCTTCAAACCGGGGGAGAGGACTGGCAAAACATTTAACAACATCCACAGACTACTTATGGACACTTTAAACGCACTCCTAGGCCATTCCGGGTTTTAAAACACACTTCTAGGACACTAGATTTAAAAGTTTTATTCAATACCAATCGGTAAGCCATCAGGCTGAGGCCTCCGTGAAACCAGCACAGGCGGGGATTCTTGAGCTCAACCCACATTCCGTCCCTTGGGCCCCAATCGAAGCGCAACCGCGCCTCCCAACGCAGGCAAGTTGCTCGCCCCGTCCACCCAGAGTGTGCCGACCGCGGAGGAAGTCAGCAAGGCCGCGGCGGCCACCAGCCTCACTGGAACGCGCCCTGTGACACCTTTCTCAGTCACAACCCTCGACCTTCTTCTTCCTCACGATTCCCAAAAGCAAAGGGGTAGATCTGCACGCACGACACGGTCTCTCGAGACTCCCTCCACACCCCAAGCCCACGGCCCGCGGTGGTGCGGGGCAGACTCGAACACAGGAGCGCACACCAGGGCGCGCACGAAAGAATCGGGGAGACCCTCGCGGCCTGGCTCAAGCAGTGTAGGAGGTATGGCAAAGTCGTCCCAAACTTGCCCCACACTCCTGACCAGTCCACTCATAAGCCCCGCCTGGCAGACCTCGCCCCCCAAAACCCCGTTCCCCAGACTCACATGTAAACCCGTTAGTAACTGTTGAAACCCCCAAGGGTGCGGAGGACAGGGCCGCATTCCTTCAAACTGCAAAATGCGGGAAAAAAGAACCATCTCCCTCGAATCGCACCTTAGCCTCCGCTTTCCAAGCCCCAAACTCGCAACTAGCTTTTTTTCTTTTTAAGCAAAGGGCGAGAACTTTTTAAAAAGCAAACCCTCCGCCCCACTTTACCTTGCATAAAACTTCGCTCAAGTCGAAGATGGTGGCGGACACGAGGGTGGTGGTCATCGCGGGCGCTCGAGCGGGGCAGGGGCGAGATCTGGGTGCGTCGCGAAGGTCCCGGTGCTGGGAAGGCGCAGCCTCCGGCTCTCCGGTCTGGAGTCGCACACGCCGGCTCCGGACGCCCCTCGCCTTTCTGACTCTCCCGGGCTACGGCGCGCAAAGCCCAATTTATAGTTTCAGATTTTTTTTTCTTTGGTGGGCTGGAGAAAGGAGGAGCTTTAAACTTTATTTAAATAAGGAACAGGAGGGAAAAAAAGTTGATTGACAGTGAGGTTGAATCAGCCATGCGGTGGGGGGGGAGGAAAGAAACTTTCAAAAGGAAGAGGGGGGAGGGGAGACGAGGAAAGAAGGCGGAAAAAAAAAAACCACTCCGGGCAGCGCGCGACTTTTTTTTTTTTCTTAAAGAGGAAAAGTTTCGAGTCCCCCGCGCTGCAGGCGCCCCTCCCCGAGACCGCGCGGCGCGGAGGGGGAGGGGTACGCCTTTGTCAGCCTGGCCAGTGACATCACTCCTTCCACCCCCTTCGGGGTGCTTGTTGTTGTGTTGTTGTTTTCTTGTCGGGCAGGAAGGCAGGCTCGACTTTCTCTTTTTGCGAGCAGGAGCCCGAGCTCGTCCGGGGGCGCCTGGGCTGCGGTTTCCATCTTGGGCCTCTCTCCCTTCAAACTTCTCCAAGTGCCCGCACAACTCACCTTACCCTGACTTCTGTGTGCACGCCCGGCTCCCTTAGCAAACCCGGCGGGGGCGAGGACGTGGGGCTTCGGAGCGACTCAAACGTCCAAGTGTAGAGTTCTGGCTTTTCTTTCAGTCGGCCAAGGGAAGGGGCGGGAGGAGAGAAACTTTTTCTCCCGGAGGACCAGCCTGGCGGGGGCGAGCGCTGCACGGCTCGTCGCAGCCAGCGTCCACACTCCTGCCCTCGCTCTCGGCGTGGGCGTGGGGGCAAGAGACCCCCGGCCGGGGCAGATTCTTTCTTTTTAACGCGACTAGGCGTGGCGCTTCTTTGACTCACCCAATCTTTATAAACTTTTTAGTACAGAAAACCCTAACTTTCATGGCCCCGCAAATAAACCACCCACTAAGGAACGAGCCACTTTCCACGCGCGCTTTGAATTCTGGGCAGACTCCCCACGCACGCACGAGCTGTGCACAAAAGTTAGAGCGGTGAGAACGCAGGTAAATAAGTAGGGGAGGCGACTTTTAACTTCTCGTTGCCGCTCGCTTGCCCCCGCGAAAACGGAACATATGGCTCGTCGCCGTGCGCTGTTTGGGGGCGGAACCCCTTAGTGGCATAGGGTCCCCCAAAGCGCGGGGCCCGCAGTGAATTACTACTCCCTCCAAAACGATCAAATCCGGGCTGATTTCCTGTTTTGAGGGCCCTAGTCCCATGCGCCGTAACGAAGTTGCGAACACGTCTCCGGGCGCTCCCCGCGGCCCGAGCGGGGCGCTGCGGTGCACACGCGGGCGGAAGTCGCGGGCCGGGCTCGCGCGCTGTTTCCCAGCACCCCGGGCCGTCGGGTGTTATGAAACCCGAGCGCCCGGGCGCTGCGAGCGGGTTCCATTGCGATGTAATTAGGTCACCCCATTACGAGCACGTTTCTTTGGAAAGGACAAGGCAGGCCGAGCAGAGTGCTCGAGTCGCGCACCACTCCCAACACATACAACTTTTTACTACATTTCTTGTTTTTTCGTCAACCTCCGGGCAAACCCAGAAAAACCTTCCAAATCACAACTGTTTAAGGAACCAGTTGCCCTTTTTTTTCAAACTTGGGGAAACACTTTTTTGTAGCCACGAACCTACGTGAGCTCCCTCAGCGGGGTTTGCTTTTATTTGCCTCCCCTAACTGGAACTGATGGTCCCCACGTTAACCCGGCCGCCGCCCCCTGGCTTCTGCAGCTGCCTCCAGCCGCCTGTTGCTTCTCCCCACCCCCACCCCACCCCCATTTTTCATCTTTTCTTCAAATCTGGCAAGCGCCGGAAAGGGCAATAACTTCCATCCACTTTAATTTAAATTATTTAAGTATATATGTTTCTTTCTTAAAGCGATGTTTGCACGTTTTCTCCCGCGTTTCAAGAACAGGAGGTGGGGGTGAGGGGACTTTGCGCAGTTTCTCGGTGGTGGAGTAATGCGTTCCAGATTTCAGGACCGAGAAGGGTGCACGTTAAAACCATAGGGTTAGTCTGAGCTCTCCTGTGAAGCTATTTCGGTCTCCTCCTCCCACCGCCCCCTAGAAAGGCCTGACTGGTCTTTAACTGCGGAGGGCTCGCCGAGCTCAGTGGGGGGACGAGGATGGGGACCCCGGCAGGTCCCCAAGGGCCACCAGCTGTATTCGCGCCCCAGGCCGGCTACCAAGTGGTTTTTTCCAGAAAGAAAAGCGATTCCTCGAATTTCCTCCGCAGTCCAACTCCCGCGCCCCCCTTCCTCCGCTCTCCTGGCCGGGCCGGCTCCCTCCGAGTTGTTTACCGGCCCCGCCGCCCGCCCGGGTTTGTTCCAGCTCCCCGAGCCTGGCTCTATAATTAAACCCTTTTTTTTAATTGTCGGGTTGAGACGTCATTTCAGGGACTTTCCAAGGGTGAGGGAGCCGCGGGGAGGGAGAGAGCACCTTTAACCCTTCGCGCCCCTGGCGTCTGGCCGCAGCTGGCCGGGCGGGGCGCGGGACCCGGCGGCCGCGCAGGTGAGCGGCGGGAACGGCCGGGAGCGCACCGAGGCTCCGGGCCCAGGGCGCGGCGCGGACGCCCCTCCACCTGCGCGCGTCCCGCCCGCGGGCCGAGCCGCCCGACTTCCGGCCACTGCCATTCGCCCGCAGCGAAGCCTGCGGGGAGGGGCCGGGCCAGGTATTCGGGCGGGGGGGTGGGGGGGCTGTTACGTTTTCACGGAAGGGCACAAGTGAAAGCCCTCGGGAGGAAGGAGGCGCGGCGGATCGATTCCTTGGCCGACCCCGCAGGTGAGAAGGTGGAGCGCGGGGCGCCGGACCCCGGGTCCAGGGCCCTCGTCCCCAGTGCCGGCCGAGGCACCGCCTCCCCTGGAGTCCCGCGGTGTAGCACTTCCTCCAGGCTCCGGGTCATTTGGAAAATCCCCCAAATTCTTCTGATTGGGACCTCCCTTCCCCCAGCTCTGCTACTTGAGACCCTAGAGCCGCAAATTCTCAGGATTGGAGAGGGGGCGGTCGGCCGAGTGGATCTTCTGGTCACCTGGTTTAGTGCATCATGGACTGCTTGGCCTAGACCCAGGCCTAGCGAATCTGGCGCCTCTGGGCGGGGCCGGGAATCTGCATTTTTGGGTGACTTTCCTGCTAATAACCAAATACTAAGATTCAGTAATCAGTGATTCCTCCAAGACATGAAAGTTGAGCGGTCTTCCATCCAAGTCTTGGCCGTGCCATTTTATAGCACAAGCTAAGGTTTTCTGGTTAGTTTTGTTTTACCAGGTTGTTTTTTTTTTTTTTTTTTT